ATTGTTTTGAAAGAGGGGGTCGTATGAAACATTTCATGAGGGAGGGGGGTCGTAAAAACTTCGAAAAGTAGCAACGATAGGACCGACCCTGGTCCACGTAGATGGCCACTATGAAGATTTTCTTATGAAATGAAATGCGCTCTTCAATTCTAAGTTGGGAGCACACGCTTTGAGCTGAGCAAAGTGTGATTAAATCCATTTGAGTCTGGAGACAAAATGTCTTTTTTTATTGCCCCCCCCCCTGTATACCAAAATAACTGGGACCCAATGCGCAATCTGTTGAGACTTTCTTTGTCTCGAACAAATGCTTAGTGGCCTCAAACTAAGCAAAATTCTCACCGTCCAGCCAAGGTGAACTTCGGAACGCCCTCGGAAAAATTCCAATTTTCCCATTCTAAGGGTTAGTAAATGAGGTTGAACTCAGATCTCTCTCAGCCAAAAGTTGTAATATTACCCAAACTTATTGCAAACGAATAGACAGCTTTACCCATCAAAAAAGAACAAGCCCAAACTTGAAGAAGCACTTTCAGGCTTCCCTTATGTGAGGAACTCACAGTAAAAGATGTTTGAAGAATAGCCATCATAAGTACTCCAATGTTCCGGGTTTATATAACACCGCTAAAACTTGGAATATGCGCAAAGGAATTAAATTTAAGGGTGTCGCCGGGCATCGGGCAACATTGTCGCCAATTTGTTAATGGTGTCCTCGAGGCGAAAATTTTTGATGTATTCCATTCCAAAGGCTTCATTAATTTTGTCTTCATCCCTACTATGCTGCATGGAGGCATTATGATGGGGGAAGGGTGAGGGGGGGGCTGTCTTATTTTGCGCATTTTTGCGTTCTTTTGACCATTCGTTTTACAAAAATAATACATTACAAAACCTGCATTATTCAAGCTAAATATAAATACCTCGAGCGGTACTATATGGCGTGTTAGAACATCTTCTCAATTCTTTGGAAAGATGGCATCCCATTGTGGGGGTTTTAGTAATTATGAAAACTGTACAATTTTGAGTATATTTTTTTAGTAAGATGATTAAGTCGTACCATATCAAACAACGCATAGAAAAACTATAGCAATAAGTCATAGTTAAGAATGCGAAAATGGAGAGAAAATAAAATGAAAAAAGTGGTGATGACCGCGCACACACCTGCTTATTATAACTTTGTCCACTTTGCAAATCAATAATGATACATGGAGATCAAAACAGTCGGTCGGTCAAATGTATCCTAAATATCGCTTTTGATACTTTAGCGATGAATAATTTTAGGGCGGAGAAAATGTTACTTAACACAAATTGAAATTTTGAAAATTTGAAATTTTGAAATTCGAGCAAAAACAGCAGTAGTATTTAACGAATAAGAGTTCACAGGTATTTTACGAAATAAGGATGTTATGCTTTCTGCTTCCCTTATTTCTTCCCCTATCGAAACCACTGGCTGCTGAAAATGAAATGTTTAGTTCTTGCTGTCACTAGCGAAAGTAGATAAGCTCTTTAAAAATAATTCTGTGTTAGCTTGCACCTAAATGCAGGGTGAACAGAGTAAGCGCTAAATTCTGTGTTACAGAGCGTGTTTTTCTCAATCGTCTCAGAGAATTTGGCAATGCGATTTCGAGTACGATCCTTCAGGAGCTTGCTCCATCAGGTACTGGATACTTTTTTCTTCAAAAATCGAATAAACAAACACCCTACTTTATGATAACGGGGCTTCATTCATGCCGCAGTCTCTAGTTTATACAGAAATGAGGATGTCTCGTAGGACGAATACTATAATCCACCTTATCATCAATTATCAAGCCTCACAATGAAACAGATGGTGCTAGACACTCTGATCATAGAAGGCACTGGGCACAGAGGTGAGAGAACAGACGGACAAATTAAGGGAGCATAGCAGAAGAGAGAGCGCAGACACGTTGCATAGGCAGTTGTATAATGAGCCACCAACTGAAGCCTTCACGGCATAACTTCTGTGCTTGCGAAAACTGCTTAGTCATCACTGGAAGGATTGCCTCAGTGAAGAGTAAGCAAGAGGCGAAAAACTACTGCATTGAGCATTTCACATACAACTGTTTGATAAAGTTCTGCGGAAATTGAAAGGAGAAGAATTTAAGGACGCATCGTACTTCGACAATCCGGCACACACGCCCGGCAAGCTTATCACACGTTTGGCTACTGACGCTCCCAATATCAAAGCGGTAAGCGACATAACATTTCTAAAAGTCATGGTCTAGTATTTCTATGGTAAGCTTTACAGGTCGTTGATGGTCGTGCGCTTCAAGTCATCTATGCTGTGACGGCTATAATTGCATGTTTAGTAATCGGATTTGTCTACTGCTGGCAGGTATGATTCCGGATACGTACAAATAACACTACTTGAATACTGTAAAAACCGTTTGTCCCCAGGTAACGCTGCTCGGTATGGGGATGTTGTTTCTCCTGGCTACGACTATGATATGGCTGGCACTAACAATCATGAAAAAGAACATTGAGAATGTTAAGAATGACGAAGCAGGACGAGTAAGTTCGTTTCTAGTGAGAAAATGAGCCCATTTATTTTTATTTATGAACTTACAGGTCAATCATACAATCATAAAAATGGAAAATTAATAGAGCAGTAGACCCACCATGGCACGCGATCAATCGATTTTAAAACCACTAGGGCACTAGTAGCAGCAGTTATTACTTGAAGACAATGATCGCGATGGTTGGAGGGTGGTGCCTCTTTGACGATGTCATGGAGCGAATGGTGT